AAGGGAATCCATATTCCAACACATACAATCCAACATGGAGGAAACACCTAAACTTCTCATGGAGCAACAACAACGAGCATAAACAACCTCCTATTTTTTAGAATCAAGAGCCAACATCTAACTTAAAGGATGTGCTCTCCAAGTTCATTGAAGAGACAAACAAGAGGTTTGAGAAGACTGACATCTTTATCCAAAATCAATCAGCCTCTATTAGGAACCTGGAGACTCAAATTGGGCAGATTCATAACATATTAGCGGGAAGAGTTCAAGGGGTTTTGCCGAGCGATATAGAGAAGAATCCGAAGGAACAAGTACATGCAATCACCTTGAGGAGTGGAAGAAGTGTGGAAAATTTAGAGGGTGAAAAACCGAGGAAAGAACAAAACCTGAGGGACTATCGCCGCGACGATGAAGATGGTAGCCGCGACGAGTGTGAGATTGCGAAGAAATTCATCAGAAACAGGGACGATCGCCGTGGCGATGATGATGGTGGCTGCGGCGAGAGTGATCATGCTCCGAAAGCTTCAGAATTTTCAAATCATCCCTGCGGCGATGAATCTAATGGCTGCGGTGAGCGTGCATCTGAGCAGAAACTTCCTTCAAGCCAGGCAAACCTTCCATACCCACAACGGTTGAAAAATCAGAAGCTCGATAAGCAATTCGGTAAGTTTATTGATATGTTTCGAAGTTTACATATTCATATCATTTTTGTTGATATGCTAGAACAGATGCCGAAGTATACGAAGTTTCTGAAGGAGATCCTCACACATAAGAGAAAATTCGAGGAACACGAGAAAGTTATGCTCACAGAGGAATGCAGCGCACTGATTCAAAAGAAACTACCACCTAAACTACGAGATCCAGGGAGTTTTACTATCCCTTGTATTATTGGTAGTTGTTATTTTAATAAACTGTTATGTGATTTAGGGGCAAGTATTAACTTAATGTCGTTTTCCATCTACAAGAAGCTTGGATTAGGAGATGTGAAGCCAACCACTGTGTCTCTCCAACTGGCAGATCGATCAATAACATATCCTAGGGGGTGGTAGAAGACGTCCTGATTAAGGTAGACAAACTGATTTTCCCAGTAGATTTCATAGTGTTAGACATGGAGGAAGATCGAGAAATGCCTTTAATCCTAGGACGACCTTTCCTAGCCACGGGTAAAGCATTGATAGATGTTCATCAAGGGAAACTAATCTTAAGGGTAGAAGATGAGCAAGTAGAGTTTAATGTTTTTGATGTTAAGAAGCGTCCAGCCGACTTAGACACATGCTTTGAGATTAGTGTCCTTGATAACATAGTGAATAAAAAATTTGAAGAAAACTACCCTAGTTCACCCCTACAGAAGTGTTTAGTCAACTCTAGAACTACGGAGGTTGACTTTGAGATGGTAGATGAACAACGATTAAAGCCCTATGGGAATGGTGAAATTAAGGATATGAGGGCTTGGATTCTCCTAGATGATCTGGATTGAAGAAAATGAAAAGTCAAGCTTACGACTTTAACCACGCGCTTTTGGGAGGCAACCCAAGCTTTTTATTTATTTATTTTTTTTCTTTCATTGATTAGTGTGTTATTTTTGCAGGTGCTAAGTTTCAAGTATGTTTATTTATTTATTTTTTCTCTCCTCTGTTTTGTGTAAATAATTTTGATGTTATGGTTGTTTCTCTAAATTCATAAATTTAACATGTGACGTGTGTTTCTGATGAGGTGCACCGCAAGTTTCTTTGTTTTGACAGAATTAACAGACAACAATGGAATGAAATGATTTGGTGATCGAATTGTCATGCGTATTCGCACTTCACGATTGCAAAAGGGGGTAACTTTTCTCTTTCTCTTATTCCTACGCTTAACATTGGGGACAATGTTGATTTTATTGGGTAGGGGTAGGAATTTAAGAAACTTAAATTGAGCAGAATTTTTGTATGGATTTAGAGAGCATTTTTATTTATTTTTTCATTTTAGGTTGTGAGTTTTATTTTTGTCTCTTGGATGAAGTCATATGTCTATGATAAAAATGTGATTGCAATAACATAGAACTAATGGAGGACATTAATTTTTACCTTTACTTACGGATATGTGTGAATATTAATGACATGAAGTTGAGACCCTAGTGAACTGTGGATTGAAAGTGGTTCAGTCACCTACTTAGAGACGTGTTATGTATGAAGTTTTCATGAAATTTATTGTGATTTCAACAAACTCTAGAACTCATTTGATAATCACTCAAGGCGAAATCCTAGAATTCACATCACTTAGGAAATGATTTAGGCTGTTTTTGGACCGATTGAGCCTTTCAAGCCAACCCTTATTTGTAATTGCTAGTTTGCCCTTTAAGCCTTTTTAAACACAATTTAGCCTTGTCTTCTTTGTCGTTCTTTGAACTTAATGTTTACCCTATCATGATTTTGAGCCTAAAACACAATCCTACCCGTTTTATCATTAAGAGACTTTATTGTTCTTCAAGCTTATTACGAGTTAGGGGTTGTGGTTGTCACAACCCACGCATGCGAAGAAATTGGTTGGGGGTTGTGGAGTGTCAGTAAAAATCAGTGGGGATGTGCATGTGTGCATGTTTCAGCCGTCTTATTTTTATTATTGTGCCAAAAAAAAAAAAAAAAAAAAATTCTGCCTAGTTTAAGGGTATTTCCGCTGGAAACCAGAACCCGCCTTAAAAACTGCCTAGCAGTACTTGGCAACCTCTGGTATAACAATGCCACATACACCTTAGACGCATCTCCCTCGCCGCATTTATGGTATCAAAAAAAAAAAAAAAAAGATACAAGTTTGAGGGTTGTAAATTAGTGGACATATTGGTTGGTGGTTGAGAAGAAGTGGAGTTCGATTTGATTTTAGAGTTTGCTTGAGGAAAATCGAGTTCTCTTACTTTGTTATTCTTATCATTTTCTTGGAACCCATACCCTGGCCTAAAGTTACAACCTTTACAAAGACCTATTGATCCCAGGTAATGTGAAATTCTACATTAGCGGAGAGTGGTGTGAAAAGTGAGCCTATGGAGTTTGATTCCATGATTCACCTATAAGTCATAACCCAAATACTGAGATCAAAATTTTGTTCATGAATGTTGTGCATAAAACCATCCGGGTTTGTAGACTAATGGTTTGTAGCTGTATGGATGTTCTAGGGTCGATAACGAAAATGAAATTGATGTTTGCATTGTCTGTGAGTTTTAGGTGATTTTTAATTAATCTATTTATTTTGTGTATATGCAATTTTTGAGACATCTTTATGAATTGATCCAAGACTTTTTGTTAGTGTGTTCTTTTTATGTTTATGTTTTTGTTACTTTTGGAGTTTAGGATAAGTTTAGTGTGGATGTTTATGGGTATCATTGCTGGAAACCCTCACGAGACTACAACTCATCCAACTAGGGCCACCTAGGGGTTTAAAGGCTTGTTGCATAAGCTAAATGCAATCGTGTCAATCTACGAAAGTGATTTAGGATAGTTTAAATTTAGGTTTTTAATTAGTTGTTTTCTTTTCAAGCTTAGAGACTTATTTTATCACTTATTTTGCTAGGGACTAGCAAAAACCTGGTTGGGGGTTGTGATAAGAGCTTGAATGTTGATATTTTGTTAGTGATTTAATTGGTTTATTTATGGAAAAATGTGTTTAAGGTGTGGAATTTGGATGAATTCTTTCATAAATACCATTTATGGGATCACGAGTGCATTTTGAGTGTTTTCAGGCTCAAACAGATTTTTGAAGGGAAAAGAATGATGTCGATGGGACTCACAACACATAGGAACAAACGGCACAGGAATCAGAGTCGAAACGAGAAAGTTGTGGCGCGTCAAAAACGTTACGTAAAATCTGGAAATTCTTCATCATGAGTATGCCTCGATGTTTCTGTCATAACTTGAGCTGTAGAAGTCAGAATTTTTGACGATTCTGATGGCGTTGGAAAGCTTATTCAGAGAGCTACAATGTTCATGTTTATGACTTCATCTAATTCTGAAGATTACAGATTCTTTGGATAGAAATAACGATCACTGCGGCGACCATTCTTACCGCCGCGGCGATGGGTCACGGGTTTGTGTTAAGTTATTACCCTAATCCGAATCTGAATGGGCTATGTTTTCTAATCTTTTTCCTAAGCACGACCAGAACCCTAGGGATACAAAAGAGGGTCTTTAAGAAGTTAAAGGGGATGGAAGAAGGAGAGAGGACGGCCACTACTTTGGGGATCAGAATTCTTGCGATTCTCATTCACAAATTAGAGAAGTATTTCTATTTTCTGTTCTTGAACTCATGTTATTCAATATAATGGTTGTTTCGATTACTGTATTTATGAACTAAATCTCTTTTCTAGGGCTAAGATGTAGTCCAATTTATGAATATGTGTTGACTTTATTGTTGTTAATTCTTATTGAGCATTAATTCTAAGTTTTATTATTGTGTGTAATGCTTTCAATTCTTAAGGATCCGAGGGTTGAATGATATCATGGGTTGGGTTGAGATCGAGAGATGAAACTTGATTAGTCTAAGGTAATAAAACCATAGATTGAGCGAACGCTAGAGAAAGGTTACCGCGATCTGTGAGGCTCTGGTAAATTCCATAGAACTTAATGATCTCTTAGCTTCTAAATTCAACTTAGAGATATTTTGGGTTGTTGCTTAAGGGTTAATTCGCTAATTGTTCGAGAGAAAGTTAGTAGAATATTAGAGAGTTTGGCCTTTAGAATAAGCTTAATTAGGTTAGCAATAATTGTCAATGCATAGGATTAAATTGGTGTGAAATCTATGCCCTAGGTTTAGTCATATTGATCTTTATATCATAGTGTTTATGAAATTCTGCATTTATTTAGTTTTTAGTTTGTTTACTTTTTCATTAAATTCATTCTTAAAATTCAGTTTAATCAAATAGCAATAAAATAGATTAGTTTGGTACTTGGTAGGTAGTTCTCTTGGGATTCGACACTCGTTTACTCGAACTTTATTACTTGCACGATTTTGTACACTTACGAATAGCCTGTCATCTGGAAATGTTACAACAAGACACACAATAAAGCCTAGGGGGAGATCATTTTCTTGATAAGCAAGTGATAGCTCAAGAGATATAAAAGATCCCACATTTTGGAAGCTCAACCACTCTGGAATTTCATGTCCAGGTAAAAAGAAAATTTCTTCACAGACAAATTTCTGTACCGAGAAAATCATTTAACGGAAAATGTTAAAATATAAAATAAAAATCATTATATAAAGGAAAAGTAGACTATGGAAGTTATACCTTTTCCTCCATGGCCTCGAGTATATTCTGAGCATTTTTCAGTTTGGAACAATTCCCCAAGTTGAGTTTCGTCACTGACACTAATGTTGAGTTCAGAACATAACTCCAATAATGTACAATTGTATGCTTGAAGAAATCGAACCTTTGATGGAAGCTTTGGTAAGGATTTAAGCCTGTCACAATAGCTTATGTCCAGAGTCAACAAATTGGAAAGTTCTTGGATGCCTGATGGTATCCATTCAAAATTGTTTCCACCTAGATTTAAATAATATAGTGAAGATATGGCCAAGACCGTCGGGTAACCTCGTGATTTCACAATAACATAAATTTAAATACTGTATACGACTCAAAAATGATAGAAAAAGCCATCCTAAATCCATCAGATGTTGACAACTATATCTGTTTAATTGTAACGCCATAAGATTGTTCAAAGATAATATGGAATATGATATTTCTCTTGTGCCAATATAATTAGCTAGGAGTGCATTCAAACCTTCTAATTGTACTAAGTTGTTGGGGAATCTCTAGATGTTTGAGCGACGCTTGAGATTAAGGTACCAAAGAGTCTTCAAACTCACAAATGTCGCTTGGGAGACTTTCAAGCCTTGAACAGTTTTCAAGATCCAAGAACTCTAGTATTGATGGGCATTCGATCCAAGACAATTTTGTTATAGATGTTCCATCTAAAAATACTTCAGTCATGTTACATGTGATTGTTGGAGCAGTCTCGAGACTTGAGCAACCAAAGAGAATAAGATATGAAAGAAATTTTGATTGAATGTCCAAAGGAAGAATTCTAAGGCTTTTGCAACCTTTAAGATTCAACATATTCAACTTTTTTAGATATTGAATTGTCGAATGAACCTCAATCAAACTTATACAACCTTCTAGAATCAAACTCTTAAGGTTTGGGATCATTGAGAGATATAGAATTCTAATTAGGTGCTTGGAGCGGATAAGGTTAATATGCTTTAACTTCTCTAAATGCTACAAACAATAAATTGAGATGAGGAAGTAACATAAATTATATGATTAGCTTCATCATTTTCTACAAAAAGAGAATATCAAGATAAATATTTGTACCTGGAGACCATTCCAGAGTTGTTTAATTTGGCTACCAGGCATGATAAGCGCAACGAGATTTTGTAACTCAAAATTTGACGGCAATGGAACCAAAGGATATCCAAACTAGTGAAAATACCTTATGTCAGATGAACTAAATTCTAGGCCCTGCAAAGCATGAACCTTATTCTCATTCTCTTCGTCCAGCGAGCAATATTGACAGCTAAAACCGCCACGCCACTCATATTTATCTAAGCAACATCTGCAATAAAAGTACCAGAAGTCTCCATGGTCTTCCTCGGCTGGGTAATAAAAGTCCAAGAATATGAGGTTTTGAATCTTCAAGAAAGCATCGTACTTCAAATTTATCTCTTTTATTTTAGAAATATCCAAGGGAATGCATTCAATTGCTTCAATTCCCTAACAATCAAATGACAATAAATTAGTATCTTAAATAAATGTCAAAGCCTACTATTGCAACACGTAGTTATAAAATTATAATCTAATTTTTTGTTTTTCGAAATTCTTTTTTGTAAAATTCAGATGTAGGCATGCCCCAAATCTAACTTAATCCTTAGCGCTAGGAATAATAAATTATAGAATGTGAATGTACATGATGCATGACAATTAAAACTAATAATAATAATAATAAATGAATGATGTTATCCAATTTATAATAATATAAAAAAAATTAATTAGTTAGTCTCTCACCGTGTTTCTTTTTAACACTTGATATATATCATCATGACACCATAATCTGTTGCATTTACTTGGATCTTTAGATTCTTGCTCGACTATTGTTTGCCCCATTTGTTGCAACAAATCATGCATTCTTATGTCACCGAATTCTATAGCTATGAGAGACTTGTTAATGAGATTACTTACTCCAAAGTTGGAGGCAAACCTACTGACATAAAAAATTTCTATTTCATAATTTATTTTAGCTCCTTTAAAATAGCAAAATATCTAGAAAAACAAAAATTTCTCTTCACCATCAAGTCCATCATAACTTATTTTCAACACATCTTGGATCTTTGGATTTGGATTTCCTTTTAAGTTACACAAAGCACTTTCCCATTCTAACTTTGGCTTGCCAAAAAGTAGGCCACCCAAAATTTTAAGAGCTAATGGAACACCATCGGCGACTACTGCTACCTTTTTGATAGCTCCACGTAACTTGTTGGAGGATAATCCAGCTTAAAGGCATGTCGACTAAAAAGTTCAAGAGCTTGATTATACATTAATCCGTTAACCTCATATATGTTATCATGACTCACTCCACAAACTTTAAGTGCTTGTTTATCCCTTGATGTTATTATTATTCGACTTCCAGGACCCAAACACTTAAGATCTCCAATTAAATTTTCCATTTGCTCTAAACATGTCACATCATCAAAAACTATTAGAACCTTCTTACCACAAAGCCTACTTTTAGTGAAGGTGGACTCTAAAATGGTTCATCGGTTCTCCAATATTGTAGAACGAAGTTATCGACTTCAACGATCTAATGCAAATTTTTCCGCCTCTTCCCTAACATTTTTTTGAAAGTACACACTTTCAAATTGACTTGAGTGTTTGGTAAATACTGCACGAGCAAGAGTCTTCCCCAAATTCCTACCCTTTTGACAATATCTTTCGACTCAATACGTAATAGTGATTCAATTTCCTTGATTCTTGGTTTTACTCCAACAAGGCCTTTGTAATCAATTTCGGACGTATGATTCAGTATTTTCAAAATAAATTCGACAATTTTTTCTATCAAGTCAGCTTCATCCCTAACAAAATATAAAACATATTAGTAAGTTTAATTAAATCAAAGAGAAAAGTAATTCTATTTAAATTACAATAAATATTCAATAACTTTTAGTTAAAATGCCCAAGTGCTTTTAAAGTGGAAATCACCTGGTATTTTTTGAATCAAAGCCAGAGAGATTAGCCGCTTCTGTCAAAGCACTCTTCCATCTCAAAACCTTCTCCGAGTCCTGCTAAAATCGTTCTTCATGCTTCATAAACGCTTCCCCAAACGTTCCGATTTGATTCCTTACATCTGATGGATCCACGTAATAGAAAATTAGCAATACGATCATATCTTGCAATTTCTTGCATTTAATGATCTTTACAAGTTCTTCAAGGCACATGTAGATGAGGCATACCCTTTTGAGATGATGATAACTGAAATCTTTGATTCTTCGATCACAGTCAAAAGAGCTTCTGAAATTTCATCTCCTCGGTGAAGATCATTATCAATAAATGCTTCAATTTTCTTTGAACACAAAGTTGCATAAAGATGGCTTAAAAAATTTTGGCGTGTATTCTTACCTCTAAAACTAAGGAAAACATGATGTTTTGTTTGAGAAGTTTTGGAAGAAGAAGAAGTCATTAAGACACTTTACAGTTGATGAAAGATTCCTTAAAGAAGAGATAGTATTGAAGAACCCAACTCAAAATTATATAACCAAGACAGTGATATGCCTGCCTACTACATGAACCTTCCAAAAAGTTTCGTGCAAATTTTGAGTAATTTCTTTCTTTTTAGGCAGGACCGTGTCTTTTGCAGTCTTGCTTATTAACGTACACTGGTATTTTCACCCACCACTGTGCCAGTTAATTCATTTAGGGTCTTGTTAAGAGTCTTCTAAGTTTACTAATTACATGAAAAGAAAATATCTTATCCAATCTTCAAATTTGCAACTTATTTTACATATGAAAAGGAAATCTCTTTCTCCATTATATTGAACCTGAGTAACAATTTAATAAATAATACACAAAGTAATATAACAAATATGGGTTTCAACAAAACAAAATAAATATTAAAATCTTCAAAAATCTTCTTTGTACACGAAAAGGTGACTCTAAAAATAATGTTATACCCATCCTAAATATTATCATAAATTTCTTATTTCAAAGCATTTCATTTATCGTATACACTGATGCATTACAGTTTCATTTACCATGGATTGAAAACCGACACTCTTTACACCTATTTCATTTTTGAGTCTTCACTTGAACAGTTTACTGTTTATAATAAATAAATAATATCTCTCCCAACTCCCACACACCATACATTTATCACCAACCAAAATCTATCACCTTAATTCTATAATATACAGAATTTTAAATATAATAGTTAAAAACACAAGGCTAAAAGTGTCAAACCGACGAATTTTGGCGCCATCAACTCTTTTCCCCGCTTAGCGCGTCATAAGACAACTGGGTCCCAACCAAATGCAATTTTCAAGAGGAGTTATGATGTGGTTTTGATACCAACCAGATTTCGTCTTGTTCAAAATTTCCAAANAAAAATTCATTTTATTTTACCAATCTAATCAATTGAATATAAATTAATCTACTAAATATACATAAAAGCATTAATTTAGATTCATTGTACTTATGTACTTAATTAAATAATATTCTTTGTAAACTCCCCTTGTGGCTGGATGGTAAATCCTTTACTTATTATTGGGGTTAGCTATACCCAAAAGGTCTAGTGTTTGAATCACAAGAGAAGTACCTATCACATTTGTGCAATTACCTTGATCCAATGGACTTGTAAGGTGTTTCATGATCTTGAGGATTAAGTAGGCTTCAATGTAGGTGCTTAATTAAATAATAATATATTTGTGTAATTACTTTGGTTCATTGGACTTATAGGGTGATTTGTGGCCCCGAGGATTAAGCAAGCTCCAATGTAGGTACTTAATTAAATAATAGTATTCATTGTATATAATTACATTAATTTAAGATGCAATGAGAAAAATTAGAGATAAGATTCAACAAGATTTAAATTTCAAGAAAAAACAAGCAACAATAGTCATATATTAATAAAATATCATAGTCAATTAGCAAATTATATATTTATGGTATGAATGAAACCACAGAGTTATGTAAGGTATTTTAGAAAAGTATTATTTTAATAATTTTTTGAAATTATTAATTTAACCTACTAACCGAAATTAGGACCATAAGAAATTATTATATAATAGAGTTTATTAATTTATGAGTATTAATTTATAGAAACTATACCGTATAATAACGAAGATCAGTCTTCAGAAATTCATCAGGCAACCACCTGCATTCAGATATTTCTGCTTGCAATCGACCTTTCACTTGAAGTATCCCTGATAAATTTTTATTATTATCGTATGTGTGAATAATATATGCATATATTCATAAGAGTAGTACTAGGAGAACATTTATGATATTATAGGGATATCACATCACCATTACACCAATCAATACATTTTTATTGGTCTTTATATTTTTAAATGGTTGCTCATGGTACCTCTGTTTCAATCTTTTTCCAAGTAAAAAGATAGTTTTAAAAAAGTACATATAAAAAATAACAGTTGGTAAGACAACCCTAGCAATTAATTAGTTCATCTTACTGGTTAATTAATTTGCTAAAAGAATCAAATTGTGGTCATATTACATGAATCGGTTGTAATTATCAACTTACATCGACACTAATAAGGACTATAATTGAATGAATATATAAATTTGAAAAAGCTTAAAACAGTGCAGCCTTGGCCAAATTCGGAGCTATTCGAGTGTGCGGCCCCATGGACTCCCATCACCACTTCTTCATCTGCCCATTTACTGAAACTCTTTGGCGTTCTATCCAGGTTAAAGGAAGATTTAGTGGCCCGAATTAAGGATGGGACACCATTGTTCATTGGTGTGCTGGTAGATTTAAAGGAAAAGGTATTTGAATGGTCATACGAAGGTTGCTTCTTGGGGCTGTGGTTTACTTTATCTGACAAGAGCAGAATTTTAGAATTTTCAAAGGCCAGGCAAGGAGTCGAGGGTGTGTGGAGAATCTGATCTTCAAAACTGCTAGACTTTGACTGCTTAGTCTCTCTTTCAAGAACAATGCTCATGTCCATCAGGTTGTGGAGGAATGAGACTAACCCATGAGCTGTATAAGGGAGGGAACTAATAGAATTGTCTGATTTTCTAACTTTTTCTAAGTTTTGGCACTTATGCATTTCCCTTGTTTGGGTGTTTTGCAGGACTGTTACTCATTGGCGCTCCAGTTCCCTCATCTCTAGAAGCATTATAGAGCCAGGCAAGCTTAGTTCGGGTGTTGCTCGGCTGGAAGTTTAATGGACGGATGTTGTGTACAGCTTATGACTTTTTACACCATCATCCGTTTTCTCTTCTGCCCTTGGGTGTACTCGTTCTTAAGTTGGCTGGGCTTTTGCGGGTCATGCGGTTTGCAAAGCCTGATAGTTCTGCTGCTGGTCTGTGGTTCACTGTACAACATCTGCTGATTCTTTTTGCTATGCATTGGGCTTTTGGTGGTTATTATTTGTGTATAGATTGCTTTTATTGTTTCCCAAAACCTGACCTTTTTTTGTGATGCTGGTCTGCTTATGTGTATGCTTCATCGAGACTAGTTCGTTGGTTCATAGGGATTTAAATCCGTGCCTCTTTTCGATGTTTTTTCTTGATCATTGGACANATTGGACACAAATGAACGAATAATGAAAATTTGTTAGGGGTGTATTTGTAAACTTATAAGGTATTTTTGTTATTTTTTAAACTAATAGGGGGGTAATTGAGTTTTTATAGGGTACCCTGGAAAGGAACCGGAACCTACATTTTAGGTTCCGGTTCCTTGAATTGAAGAACCTGCACTGTGCGGTTCCAGTTCCGGTTCCTTTTTTTGGGAACCTGTATTATGCGGTTCCGGTTCCGGTTCTCCCGGAAAATATAGGGTACCCGGAACCGCTCACCCCTACTTTAAAATATATTTTCTATCGATGCCCTTTGAGACTGAGCTAATGATGAACAATCATATATATGATTGTTTTGCGCAAAGTACTGCATTGTAGTCAAGGTCAGTCTTCCAAAATTCATCTGCCAACGGACGCCCTTCAGATATTTTGCCTGCAATCAACCTTTCATTTGAGGTATCTCTTATCAGTTTTTCAGAATCCTTTTCCTTGTATGTATGAATACCGTATGCATATATTCATAAAGTAAGTATACAATTTAAATTTTTGTACAGAAACTAATTTGAAATGACTCATTTATTGTTGTATCATTCATCTATATTTATGAAATCTGAGTTTTTATATGCATCCATTCATTCAAGTGATCAAGTCAAGTGAGTTTGTATGCAAAACTATTATTCCAGTCAGAATCAATATCTAGCTAACTTGTATAAACTGTTTTCACGGATAATACCAACATGATTGCATTTTATAAGGCAAATCAATCGCTTCTTAAAACTAAATCATTTTTATATCTAATATTAGTCTAAAATGATATAATAGTAGACAAAACTTGGTTTAAAATGTAGATGTAAATAATATAGAACAAATAATGATATTTCTTTCTCTCTCTCGTATCCCTCCTAAAGCAACTATCAACTCAATCCCATGTTTGTATGGTTTTCTATTTATTCGTTGAATATTGGTTTCGCCCTCCGGGATAAATACCCTGGCTCTAACCCTGCCTGCAAAATAGTATGAGAAGTATATGTAAACTAATGTATCAGTTGAGTTGTTTCATATTTCATTAGTACATTTATGAGGCGGGGTCACTGAATCCAAACTAAGATAAGATATGATTAAGATCAATTTTGGATTAAATTAATACTATAGCAAAGGTTAGTATTTTAATTAAGATTGTGATATTGGCGCAAGTTTGGGAATATACAGTTTATGATTGCCAAAAATTTAGGGTGTATTTGGTTTATTATTTTGGATAAGATTTTTGCAATAATATTAGATAGTTGAGTAGGGTTATGATTACGAGAATAAGATTTGAAAAATGTGTTTGGTAGAATATTTTTACCTTGATATTTGTGTTGAATAATGGATGTATATTTTTATAAATGATTTATTAATATAATATTTTGGTGGATTTTGTTAAAATAATGATTATATATATATAACTTATCTGGTGGTGTGTTGGTGGTTCACACGGTGGATATTACTGTGGGACGATTAGTAGTGGGTGGTTCACAATGAAGATTAGGTGGGATACATCTGGTGGTGGGTGGTTCACGGTGAAGTTGTTTGGGTGGTGCAGGTGGAGAAGAAGTTGGATGTGCTTGTTTGGGATGTAGGTAGAGAAGAAGTTGGATGCATTATGTTGGTATTTGCAGGTGGAGAAGAAGTTGGATGGAAGAAGAACAAGTTTGTAAATGGGGCGAGCACTGATGCAGTGAAAAGATGCAGAAATGAAATAAAAATGAGAAAGACAAAAAAAAGCTACAGAAAAGGTCTAACGGTCCAAAATATGTTAGGATACTTTTTTCAAGTTGAATCATGTGAATAATAAGCCAAAATACTATTCAAATAATCGGTTTAGGAATATAAAAATAAATATACACCAAACATACCTTAGATATTATTAGAGAAATTAAGTAGTAGAAAATTGCCACTATTTCAACTCAGGTGAATTATCTTGCTTCTAGAAGACACTAAAAAAAACAT